CTCCTCATGTTTGTCACCGGGAGATCCAAGTTGAACATTCTCTATTTCTATGTGTAGAAAGAAATAACTTTAGCAAATACAATTGAAATGAATCCTCGGAACCCGTTATATTTTCCGAAACCCAAAACATGAACTCTTCACAAATTAAGTGGGATAGTCACAATGCTGAAAAGCTTACATCTTTTTCCTATTTCGTAATCACGTTTTGTTTTGGCAATATACTAGTCCACAGAAAATTTTGGTGCCTATTTGTTTAGTCTACAAAAGACTCAATTTCTAAATTTTAAAATACGATAATTCGATGCGCATATGGCATATATACAAATCTGTTGTGTGGTGAAGATTTATAATTCCTTCACTTCAAATCCTTCAATCGAACATCTTTTAACCCTTCCGCTGCGGTGCGGCGGTCCGCCGCCACTGAGCTGGACACTGCACGAAAAGTGTGCACATTGCGTGTACAATCTTTGATATTTGGGTTTACATCTTAATCCTAAATAATGTCACCTTGACAAGCTATTGGAAGAAAAGTGGCATTTCTCAAAACATTGTGTGCAGGATACGAAATTAGATGGAAGCTCAAATAGAAAGCAACTGTACTTACTCTATACAATGCAAAGACCATAAAATAAAAAGCAATGACATATTAACGTCTATTATCTGAATCAGTACCCAAGTCTAATTTTTGAATTAAAATTTTGATTTGGGGTAATTCGAGAAAAGCGTATTTTTACGTTTCCCGCTCCCAAAGTGTTAAGAAGCATACATAATATATATTAATGTTTTTGTGGAAATTAAGTAATATAAAGATTAACGAATGTTCGAGCGCATTCCGCCGGTTATAACAACCGCTGGAGACGAGTGCTGGCTTTGTGGATGCTGGCTATAACCGCCGTTAGGAGCGAAAGGGTAAAACACCCATCTACTTAACATGAACCTTAACGGTTATAATGACCAATATTCTGGTGAGAGACTGAAAAGAAACTCTGAAGCTCAGCTGCTTTGGAATTATAACACCAATTCCAAAACCCGAGCATAGAAAGGAGTTCATAATCCATCTCGACAGACAAAATAGCATTGTTTTATATTTTGCTAACATCTCTCATCAGTTATGTATCGCCCATCTGTGCCACAGAAACCGATACCGATATCGAAGAATTTCAAACACCACAGAATAAAACTGCCCTACAAAAAAGTAATAAGCCATAGTTTGCAAGAAATGACGATATTCAGAAAGACCAATTTACAGGTGTAAGTGGATGTGGTGTAATGGAGCAAAAATGAGACAAGTCAACTAAACCGATAGGCAAAATCAACTAAACCACTACAATTACTGCATATGGATGTTTGTGAACCTTTACCGTCACAATCTCAAGGAGGTCATAGGTAATTTATATCAATTACTGATGATTATTCACGAAGGGCAATTGTTTATTCTACGAGAAAGAAAAGTGAAGTTTGATTATTTCACTAAATTCCAAGAACGAGCTGAAAGATATCTTAATAGTAAAATTGTCAATACAAGAACTGATCGAGGTATGGACTTTTGTCGCAATGTATTCCAAAAATTTCTTGATAATCAAGGTAGCTGAATAAACAAATGAATATAATCCTGAACTGAATAAACAAATGAATATAATCCTGAACAATACGGAGTAAGTGAACGTTTCAATTACACAGCTCTAGATGCAGTTAAATGTATGCTAAAAGACAGTATTCTTGGAAAGTGTTTGGGCTGAATAAGGCTGAAGCATCATTATGTTTCAGTCATATGTGAAACAGAATCAGTCATCCAGGTCACAACAAAACCCTTTTCGAATTATGATGTGGTAGAAAAACCAAGTATTAGGCATCTAAAATCATTCGGTGCAACTGCTTATATTGGAACTCCCCGACAGCATCGCACCAAATTACAGGCGAGAGCTAAAAAGGGCGTTATGGTAGGTTATGCGATGCAAACGGAGGATTATAGAATTCGGTTACTAGTTGAAAGGAAAGATATTTAAACCATAAATGTTACATTTAATAACGATTTTAGCAGTAGAAATATACTTCACCCTAATGATTCGAAATTTTACATTTCAAAAGATGGTTGATTGGGCTCAATGTCACAAGGGCCAATTTTGCCATACTGCGCCAAACGTTCGTATATTTCAAAAGAATCCAATTCCGATTCAGAATCTAAAATACGGATTACCGGAGAAATTCTCGAAGACGTATACATAAAATCCGAACACGGATGCATTTGAACCAGATTCCAAATCGAACCTTTTAAAAAGGGTTACGTGGAATAGACAAGCTGTTCCCCGTAAAAATGTATCAAAAACGGAATTATATTATAGAATTGAAGGTACGAAGACTTGTTTCAGATCACATAATGAGGTTAAGTCATATTGGGAACCAAGTAGAATATAACGAGGGAATGTTCAACTTTAGTGGAAAGAATCTTTATTCAGAATTTGTCAAATCGAACGAAGAAGATTCTAATGTTAGGTATTTGGCAAGAAATAAAAATTCCTTTTCAATATAATGAATCTTTAAAAACCCTGAAGCTACAGAATGGTATAAAGCAAAGGTAGAAGGAATTGACACCACGACTAACAGTCGTTTGGGATTTAGTATCCAAAAATTCAAATCAAAAAGTATTGCGTAACAGATGGGTTTACACTTTAAAGAGGAATGAAAACAATGACGTTGTAAAATTGAAAGCTCGTCTTGCTGCTCGAGGTTTTCGTCAAAATAAAGCAGAAACATACGAAATGTTTAGTCTTGTCATTAAGTTTTCTATTATAAGATTTTTTCCTGCTTTTATGTCATCTAAAAGGACAACATTGCCAACTTAACATCAAATGTGCATATTTATACGCTCCTTTACACAAGGAAATTTATATGCTTCAGCCACAAGATTTTGTAAATAGAAATAGACGAGATAATGTTTGTTTAAGAAAGCAATTTACGGATTAAAGCAAAACGGCCGTGAATAGCTTCAAGGAATGAATACTACCCGTGAGAGATTTAAATTTCATAAATTAAAATGGGTAACTGTGTTTACATTTATCAAAATAATGTAGTTTTACTATTATATGTGGATGGCAGTATCCCGATACGAAGACCAAATGATTACACAGATAAAGTAATTAAACTCCTAAAATGTCATTTTAATTTAAGAATTTTAGAAAAAACACGAAAATTACTTGGTGTTGAGTATCAAGAGCTTAATGGAAATTTATTTATGCATCAAAATTATTATTACATTTCCAAGATTCGTAAATCGTATGAAAAATTTAAATTTCCTCCGAGTTCTCTCCCTATAGCAAAAGGTACATTTTTTATCTGAGCAGCAGTGTCCGAGTACAAATGTGGAGATCACTAAAAATGCAAAAATACCCCTATAGAAGCATCCTAGGAAGATTGTCTTTCATAGCAAGTAGGACTCGACCAGATATACCCTATGCGGACAAAGTTCTATCTCAATATGAAGAAAATCATGGAAACATCCACTTGAATATTCTTCTAAACCTTTTAGGTTATGTTAGTGCTACGAGAAATCTTTGACCCAATCTTTCAAAGTGAATAAGTTAAGTATGGAGTGTTACAGTGATGTCGACTTCGCTGCCAATCGTGCCGACCGAATTTCTAACGGAGGTTTCATCACTCTTGGACGTGGTGCTAATTGGTTGCAGAACGTCAAAACAGAAATGTGTCAGTTTATCGAATATGGAGGCAGAATACATGTCTCTGACCGATGCATCCAAGGAACTTTTATGAATTCCACGAATCTTGGAGGAATGTAAAGAGTTACAAATCTTAAACCAAACATTATGTATATTTAAATATGCCTAATGTTATGCTTTATTCTGCGGTAACCATGCAGCAATTCTTGTACAGAAAATATTAGGAATAAGCATATTGCTATTTAAGAGTATAGAATACTCGAGAAATACTTTGAATTAAAATACATACGTACCAAGAAAAATATAGCCGACATTTTTTACTAAAACCAAATTCGAGTTAAAAACTTTTCTAGATAAAGTTTCGATGTATGACAATTAAAAGGGAATGAAATTTAAATTAGAAATATTTATGACAAATGTGAAAATATTACATTGAAATTTAAAGAATTTAAAAGTGATTATGTTATGTTGCATTGTCATGGGATATCGAAGTTAGGTAACTATTTTTGTAGGGTTTGAATTAGTGAGAAGTAGGGGGGGGGGCGAATTTTTCGAACCCAGATCAGATACGATGGTTCTCACTAATTCAAATCACTAAGCGTTTGCAGCAGTATCGGTTCACTTTCAGGTTTATGCAAATTACATATCGTTATGAATGCGAGTGATAAAGTTCAGCACACACTGACTGGCTTCCATCCTAAAAACTCTACATATCTCTTGCTACACACCATGTATGCATTATTAGGCATTACGTTTAGGCAAAAGTCTAAATTTATTAGGATTAAGAGTAATTTAAATGCTGCAAATGCTTAACGATGAATATTAAATTGATAATGATTTTTTAATTTAATGCTAGTCCAGTTTTTTTTTTATTTAAGTATTTGTTTTTGTATATCAGTCTAATCATTGAATACTACTCGGAATTTTTAAGACTAAACACACAATAATATCACAAACGCCATTTAATTCTGCTACGAAACAAGAAAGCAGTTAAAACAGACATTAAATTAATACCATGAAGTATAGCCAACAGAAAGATGAAAGCAATTCCAATAATTTTTAAATCCAGTCTGGATTATTCCAGACTTCAACCAATATGCATTATTCAATTCCAGACGTCCTCCAATATGCAGTATTCAAGAACTGATAAACGAAACCATCCGTTGCCCTTTCCATAATGCCAGTTTTTTTTTTTAAACTGTACATACTGTGGATTCGGGAAATATTAGAGCTATTGAATATTATACGATTTTTTTTAACTGCGACTTCTGTTTATTTGCCCACGTCGGAACAGCCTACCCAGAAAGTGCAAGACACAAAATATGCCAACAGCATGCGGTGTTTTCAGGTGGTCACCCTTCCAAGTGCTGACCGCGCCCGATACTGCTTAACTGCGGTGATCAGACGAGAACGGGAGCTTTCTGTATGGTATGGCCGTCGGCTATTCAAGTCTATCCCATGAAGAGATTCACATATGTGCAAGTTTATCTCTTTGGCCTTTAAGGCTTGAAAACCGCCTTGATTGGACTATTCCATTTTAAAGGTGTGCAGAATTTTCACGAGTGGTTTTCAGAAGGCCGCCTAAGTTTCATTGCAGAGCTAACATTGAAGTAATCAGCGGCTCACAGTAGAAGTAAAATAATTTGCAGATAAAGACGGATTTGTTATAAACGCTCAAATCAAATTTAAATATATACACGATTGCTTTATTTAAGTTGATAGTCAACACTGCGCAAAAATCTCACAATAAATATTCAGAAAGTTAAAAGTGTTTAAAATTATTTCTCTTAAATCACACATTTACTAAAATTAGATTTAATTTAGACGAATCATTTTATTAGCTTCAATGCGAAACGTTACAACTGTATATTCAAATTAATTTTCCACCAGGTACTTTAAATTTTATTGTAGAAATTTTTAGATATTAAATTAAGCTTCTTTATGACTTTGAATCATACTCTCAGTTTTACTCAAACTCTAGAATTCCCTGCCCTCCCTCCAGCCGGCTGGCATCCCCACCGCATTTTATTTTAGCTTATCTTAAGAATTTTACCCTCCGTGAATCTTCAATAATCCGAGCATTTCATAACCTTCAAATCATTCTTTACAAATTCACTCAAAACCTTTCAAGCAAAGCACACATTCCATTTCTCTTACAAGGCACTCGCATAAAGTTCTTATTTCACTTTCATAAAGAAGCTCAATTTAACACTAACAGATACTGTAGAAGCGTCTAAAGAAATCACAAAATAAATTAATACAATGCAATTCAGTTCAGTGTCTAAATTAACGTATCGGTTTAATTTAAAAATGACTTAAATACTTCACTATCATTAACGACCGAGTTAAAAAAAAAATGTGGCTGAGGTAAACTTTACGACCACTAATTGCCTAAATGCTGTCCAAAATATTTAAAGTAGAAAAATCAACTTTGTTCAAGCCAAAATTATAATTTTGTACGAGAAATTGCGAGTAGTTATAGATCTTTCAAATTACCGTAAATTTAATATTTTAGATTACCGCCTTTAAATACAAATTATGTTACATTTAGTGTTGGCAGCTGATCACATCCATAAATATATGAAACTTAATGAAGATAACTAAAGATCCAAAGTTTGCATGTAGGGAATATTTAAGATTGGCGGCAAAATCTGCAAGAGTTTTAGTATCATGGCATCACTGACGTTTCGATTTTGCATGAAGATTGTATTTTCTTGGCGATAAATATGATGCATGTGGCGAGAATTACCGACTTAAATACGAGTTTCAAGAAGGTTTTCAATAGATAGTTAACCATACATGAAAATCGGTTAGGAACCTACCAAATGAATGCCGTGACCATATTTGCCTTACTGTATCGATATTTGAGAGTTGTTTGAGCAAATCAAACCTATCGGTCTCGACTTTAATTGGTCACTATGCGGATTTTTAGTTCTCCATAAGAAAGGTTCGACAAAAATAGTGAAGATTGATGTGATGTATGCAGGAAACAAATATTTGATAACAATATTCGGACAAGAATGAATATTGGCATCTTCGCTTTCTTAGACGCGAATGAATTTTTTTCTGTTGCAGAATGTTCGAAAAAAAGGAAATGAGTAGGCATACGAAAAATGCTCCGAAAACGATGATAACAGTCCAAGAAGGAAATGAAAGCAGAAATTTCAGCCAATGCAAATAAAATAAGATAATAATGAATTGTCGAAGATTGAAGAGGTCGAAAACTGAATAAAAAACAATTATCGAACATTGAAAAAAAAGACTAGTCTTATTTTCTTCCATAATGATGACAAGCTATCATTTCTGCAACACCCATCATCAACTTGGAAAACTGCGGTATTTATTACAAAAATGCATTATTAGAGAAGGTTGTTGTAAATAGCGTTGGATTTTGCCAATACAAGGCATCGGGAAATTTTTTAATCTCAGTGTAATAAATACGAAGTTTTGTTCTAAATTCTAGGTTCAAACTTAATTCTTGTTGAGTGCATTTAATACTTTTAATTTTCAATTGAATTTTCGCCATTTGTGTTTAAAGAATGAAAAGCAACTATTGTAAGCCAATTTCCATTCAGCTGCAATTGCTCATGCTTTCATTGTCAAACATTGCCCTCGTCTTGGTCTTTTCTAATCTGGCTTTATCATTCTTGTTAAAAGCTTCCTTGTGTTTTTATCATATCGTCAGTTTAATAAATCCCAGTTTTTTTACATATTCCAAAATCTTTCTATTCTAAATCGAATCGCAGACATGGGATAAAATTAAATCGAATAAACTAGTTATGCTGCTTGAAGAAATACTACATTTTGCAAGTTCTCATCACACGAAACCATTACCACTCCCTGAAGGTTGCACTATAAAATCATTTGGTTAGAAAGGATCACCAAAACCGTCCGTTTGTTGTGCGTTTCGTAGCACAACAGCCATATTAGGCTATACTGCACCAGACCTGGATCACCAATAATGCAGCTCAAAACATGAGAGTAAGTTAGTTTGTTGTGGATTTTGTGGCGCAACTGTTATATTAGTCTATTTTGAATCAGACCTGGGGACTGCCGAAAGTAAGAACCGACAACATACTGAATGCAAGACATTACAAGAAATCTCAACGTAAAGAACCATGACGAGGTATATAGTCCTGAACTACAAGTATTTCGACCGGCAGTGCTCCAGGACATCAAGAGCACACTTGCTTCGCAGATATGAAAGTTGTCGCAAGAATAAAGCCAGGAACTATATACCATGTTATCATTTATTCAAAAATTGAATTGCTTATACTTATGCTTAAATTAATAGGCATTTCAGATTAGAAAGTAAATATTTCAATTATATCTTAGCAAACCGACCGCCCTGCTCTAAAGCTCCCAAATCTGAGAGACAAGAATAGAGGCGCCAGAAATTTAAGAGAACTTTCCAGTTAAATCTCAATGTCTTTCCTAAATGAGGCAATTAACATTTAGGAAGTTAAAATAGTCTGCAGCAAAATTTAAAATTACCGTTATTTATACTGGATCAGTTGAGTGATGTTAGGAACATTCCCCCGAAGTTTAAAGGAGGCAGAAGACCAATGCAAAGTGTGCGGAAGTAATTTTACTGTTGTATTGATGCAATGCACTTTTCGAGATGCCTACAGTTATTTTTGCATCTACAAAGTACTAGCTAAGCAAGATAAAAATTCTAGCTTTTCAGTTACTTGTTTCCTAAAGCAGGAGATGTGCATGTGAATATAGAGAATAGCCATGTTAACCCTCCAAGGTTCAGCTATTTCTAATCGCCATTTAGATAGAGCCTTTGCGAATAAGCCGAAGATCTTTTGCAACGAATTGAATTGCCAACTAAGCATATTTGTTATATTACAACAATTCATGCAAATCCAATAATGTAGTCCATTAAACTTTCTGAATTCAGAGCGATTTTCTCCTTCTCCGATGCAACAGAATGGTTAGAATTTTTATGTCATTAGGGACAAGCCGTGTTAAATGCTAGTTAATTACCAACAATCAAATTAGATGCCACAGGTTTTTACAGATATAAGCGATCATCGACACTTATGAATCATGACCTTAATATTCCCGTCTGTGTTTTTGAGCCCACATTTACAATGTATTAATTTTCCCGGTTTCAAATCATTAAGTACTGCCAGAATTTGTGGCATTAATATTTTGGCTCGTCTACTTGCTTCACTCATTCGGTTAGCCCTTTGCTGGAAGGACTCGAGATTCTCAGCTTTTATTAGGCAGTATTTTTAAGTTGATTTCTTTAGAGATTCACGAGAGAATGCTAAATTTAATTATCGACTGCAATACTTATAATGCATGCATTAAATACCGATACTTATTTCCCGATTCAGAACTAGTCATGTTGGCTAAGATTTTAAATAAATTTCCATAAATTCCTGGGTATTTACATGCTCGAAACCTATTGTATAACAGACAACAACGTGAAAAGGACAATTTAAGTTCTGTTCGGTTACTTTTATATAGGGTTCCATACAGGATATTATTATTTAACAAAGCAAAAAACCAGGTATTATACTTTAAAAGTTGTAAAATTTCCTAAACTCGGAAGTTAGATTAGATATCCAGCTTTGAATTTTAGAATATCGATATTGTGAATAAACTAAGGTTTAAATTCGTATCGTCAATAGTGAACGAACTTAAGTGGTTGGTAAACTTTGTTGCAAGATATTTGCTTTAGAACAGATAAAATATACAAAAAAATTCAGATAAATTATGTTTCAACTTAACTTCATCAACAAGCTACAGACGTCAAATTACGGAACAGGCATTGGATCAACTTGAGGACTTGAATCCTTTGAAGTGTCGACTATCATAATTGTGTTGGAGATTCAGGATTCAGATCATTCTTGGAATTCGCGTAGATTCACATTTAACGGAAGGATATCAAGTTAATTTCTGAAGGAGGTGGCATAGTTGTTTCCGCCCATTTTATCCTGAAAATGCAATAAGATTAGCATATTTGAAAATCTTCCTACAATACATGATACTTCTGGAAACATTGCAAATTTTATTTCATGCGAAGAAGTCATATGAACTAAGATGCTCAGGAATATTGAGTCATTTATCGGCATGATATTTATTGCCTCATCGTTCTTAAAATCCTTTAATATTTGAGCGGTAAAACAAAATTCTTATTTCATATTTCGATTTTAGTTTATTAGGCTTCTTAATCCTACAACTTAATGTTCCCTTTCTTCAAAAGCAAAACAACTCGAGTCCATGCAAAAACTGTATATTTGCTAGATAGCACACAGAAGGCATGCGATGTATGTTCTTTGGTTAACTCTTAAAAGTCTGAAATTGAAACGTTTATATAGACAAATTATTCTTGGTGAATCTGTTTGTAACATTCAAATTTCGGAAATGGATTTAATTTCATGAACAATCAAGAAAATCATGGTTCCAAACTTTATTTTAGAAA